AGTCAAAGCAAGGCTTTTGACATGTTTTTTTTATGAGAGTGTAACATTATAACATGATATAAAACTCAAAAAAGTTGATTTTACATGAAGTTTCCCCTTTAAACGAACCTGGCATGGATCAGCTGACCAAGGCTGTTACAGCCATCTTTACAACTTGTAAAGATAGTCCTACAGGATGTGGCTTTAACGTCTGAAATCYTGTTTCACTACCTGCAGCACCAGTTCGACCACTGGTACCAGCGGCTGCCGTGCTGTTTTCAAACTGCTCCAGAGGCATCGAGTCCAAACTGGACTCTGAGTCCTCCATGTAGGCATTTCCTCCTCCACCGGCTGCAATCAGCAAWGGAACCAGCTCGCCACCATCCATCTGACAAATGACCCAAATATTAAATACCAAACAGATCACAAAAGCAAACATTTTATTGGTGGATCCAATCAGGACGAGGGAAGCTGCACCTTAWAGACGTAAGTGGCTCCTCCACCGCCGCCTCCTCCGCCTGCCCACCCTGCACCGGTCTCAGACCTGCGGCTGTCCTCGATCACAGACGACTCCCCCAGGCAGATCTTCTGTGTGAGGGGATTCCTCTGACGCAGAAAGAACAAGCGTTTGAGGAGATAAATAAAACTAAACCACGAGTCTGTCAGAAACAGCGGCTCTATGTGGGTCAGCGTGGTGGTGAGAGACACCGGGACACTTAACCCGCTCACCCCAGGACAAGCATCTTCTCCCTGGTGGCCCACCAAGATGTAAAGTTCTTCTCCTTTCTCCAGAGGAAATARGGCTGATATAAACACGCCGTGGTTGCGTTTATTATGGTTTTTGGCTCCTTTCCCCCCCGCAGCTCCGTATGCAGAGACCCTGAAGGAGATCAARGAAATGTGAGGAAATTAAACTTTATGACAGAAAGAAACACGAGCTCCTCTGTGCATCCCAGCAAAGGAGGCAGACTGAAATATACTCATTAKCAGTTCTCTTCAAAGCAAACACGTTTAGTGCACATCATTATGAGCTCAGTTACCTGTGAGTCAATTAACAACTTGTAAAAATGCTGTAAAAGAACTTTCAGTGCTCATAACTGAGAAAATAAGCATCTGCACACACTTAACGTTTCCACTGAAGGTGAAATTAAACATTAATCTTTACAGGCTGTTGTTCTACCCAACACCTGCACTGCAGTCTTTACGCTTCATTTCAAGTGATTTCACACCCATTTAAATCTCCAAACATGCAACTAAAACATCCCCCGTCGATCAACAACTCACAACAGAAGTGTCATCGACAAACATGACAACACGCCTGTACCMCCACACCTGTTGTTTCAAACTGAATGAACCTTTAAGATGAGATATGAAACATCTGCCGGGATCAGTAAAGAAGGTCCAGCTGACTAAGGCTATGTTCAAACTGCAGTTTGAGCAGMTTTTGCTCAGATCAGATTTTTTTTGTGGACGTTCACATTATATTTTAAATACAACCTCCATAGATGCTTCATGGAGCGCTGAATCATCAACTACACTGCCAAATTTCAGTGGATTCTCAGTCATCCAGGACACGGAAAGGAAAAAGACGAAGCAACAGGACGTTTGTTCTACAGCTGAAGACATGTGGATGGATGGATGGATGGATGGATGGATGGATGGATGGATGGATGGATGGATGGATGGATGGAGWCRTCACAAACAGTCTTTATGCAAAATCAAAACCAACATTACTCTCACCTGCAAAGACTGACCGGACAGTGACTGACTGACAGGAAGTGCATCAGTCTGCAGGGCCAGAAAGTAACAAAAATGTCTAAACTGGTCCTTTTTTTTAAACTGCAAATAAAATCAACAGTAAGATGCTTTTGGAGATGCCAAAAACAAGGTTGAAGCTCCGAGGAGATCGGGCTTTTTCAGTCATCGGTCCCAAACACTGGAATAATCTGCCCCTCAACATTAGGCAGGCCACTTCCGTTCACCAGTTCAAGTCATTGCTAAAAACCCATCTTTTCTCTCTGGTGTTTCATTGTGAGTGAGCTGATTTAATGCAGTTTATGTGTTTCTTTTAATACTGGTCTCATTCACTAGATGATATTTTCATTTTACTTACTGTTTTTAATTGCCATCATTGCTGTGTGTTACAGTGTTCTGCTTTAATTTTCTATTTGTTGTGAAGCACCTTGATAACAGTTTACCTGTTTTAACTGTGCTATACAAATAAAGATGACTTGACTTAAAGACAACCAGTAAGAAATAATAATAAATCTTAAAGCTCTCCACCGTCACTTACAGATATCTGTTGGTAGCGGGCACCTTCCACGTCTGGACACCTTTCAAAGGGCCTTCCTTCCTCACAGTGACGCTGACGTTCTTGTTCCTGTAGGTGCTGTCACACTGGGCCTGGGTCGGGCCCTGGGGGCCGCTGGCACCACATGAGTTAAACCACCATGTCATCAGAGAGACTTCTGCAAACAGACACATGTATTAATGACTCTAAAAATGATGCAAAATTCATTTTATCGTATCTGTGTCAAAAGGACTGATGGGTCTACCTGTGATGGAAGGTTCTGGGAGCGGGTTCATGAAGTCCAAATCATCCATTTGCAGCAGGGAGTTGAGATCTGAGAGCGCGGCAACAAAAAGAAACACTGAGCTGGAATATTTTCTCTTTATCTGACTGATTTATAACAACTTTATTGAAGGGAATTTCAAAAAAACCATGAACATGGGATAAAACCAAACAACTACATTAAATCTTTCTTTTGTTCTCATCTTTTGTCTTTGCATGCTAACACAGGAGTTTATTCATTTAGTGGTAAAAACACACAGATCTTTGGTCTTTAAACTGATTAAACAAAAAAAAAAAAAGCCTGATGGTCTGAACCTCACAAGCCTCTCCAAAAACAACCCAGATCCCAGACCAGACTGAGGTCAGACCTGTAAGCACACACCTGCTCTGAAGTCACAACAAGCCTTAGAGGAGGTGTTAGAAATGCCGTCGTGCCTCCCTGCAATTTTCAAACAGCTCTTCTTAWAAAACCGTGAACAAACAAAAACAAACCTTTCCCATCTTGTGCAGATGTGAARGGTTAGAGAAATCCCTCCCAGCAGCTCTGTGAACATTAAAACCCAAACTTTACAAACCAAAGAATGCTGGCTCACACTGCTGTCGTACTGCGGTACGGGGGGTTTGCAGCAAATTATTTAGCGGCGGTTAGCCAGACGTCAGGGCCAATCATTAAAACGAGGCATCAAACAAACGCTGCAGCGTGTCAGGAGGAGTCTGTCCTCTCCGCTCTTGGGTTTGATTTTGGAAAGCGCAATTTCAAAYTCAAACTGGGTGACCTTCAAGAAGAGCCTTTTCGTTTGGGCTTTACAATCAATTAGCGACGCGCGTTCTGAGCGTACCTGAGCTGAAGCAGGCCGCTCCGACGGCGATGTTGTCGAGAGCGAGATCGGCCCTGGAGCCTGGAGGCCACGCTGCCTTCACGTTCACATGAAACCTGGAGCCGAGCAGAAACAAGGTAAAGGTAATATCTCTAAGTAAGAAAACAATGAGCGCTGAGGGCAATAAAACTGCTAAAAACACATGAAATCCTTACAAAGCATTAAAAATAATAAGAAACGCCTCAATATACACTTTGCAAATTCAATTCAAAATTCAAATTCAAAAATACTTTATTGATCCCAGAGGGAAATTAGGTGTTGTTGTAACTAACTAAATGCAGTGGAAACGTGCAGGTGCTGCATTAGGACACACAATAAGAGACCACAATATGTAATTATTAAAACACTGCGCATCACTAACGASTGTTCCAAACCACAGGTCTAAAAAWATTATTTGTTCAGCACTTAATCGAACATAAAAGCAAAATAAAGACCGCTGAGCATTTTAATGTTTCTAATAGTCCCTCTAGTTTTGCCTTTTAGTTTCAGACCCTCCTTTTAAACCTGACTTTACAAATCGATCTGTAAAGGTTTAGATTACATTAAGGGTGTCTTATTACCACACAGTTAAATTCCTCAAAATCTTTCACCATTATAAGTTTTTATTGTTGTAACAAATGTTTATATAACAGGTTTGTTTTTATTTTCATCTGAGTTGGACCATTAACAACTCTTTGTAATTTATATCAGCTCAACATTAAAAACAAGCCATTACCTGGTTTAATTATCTAATTATTATCTGATTTTTTTTGTGATTTCATTTGGTACCAGGGCTTGTTTTATAAACCAAAAACATTCAATCGTCTGATTTTTTCCCAGGTGTATTTCAGATTTCTGCTCTTGAACGTCACACACCCGTGATTAAAGCCTCTCAGCTCCAGAGCGACGGCCTCCCAGTCGTCCGTCCACTGACCGTGRCTCTCCCACACCAGGAGGACGGCGTTGGTCTCGTTTTCCTCTATGGCCACTTGCAAAGAACCGTTAAAACTGCCGTGTATGTACAAAGAGAAACTCATCTGCATTAACACAAAGGCAGAACAACAGGAGGTTTTAAAAGTCMAACACGTCTGACCCACAAAATGAAGAAAAGAAACACTATTTTATTTTAATATTATAATAAATATTAATAACATTTAAATATTTTATTTAAATGTTCTTTTGACAAGCAGCTGACCTGGCAGGCAGTGGTAGAAACTGGACGAGGGAAAGAGGAGCTCTGAACGGACGCCTCCTGTGGAGAGTCACTCTCTTTCACTTGCAGGAACAGGAAGTGTCCTGAAAAACAGAACATTTAACATTTAACTTGTACTATAATATTATTACTATTCCCTTTTCAGCCATAATGTGCATTTTTTTAAGCAAAACCCAAATTAAACACTAAAAACAACAAAAACAGTTTGATATGAGAGTTGGCTCATTCTGCACATCACACACCATAAATCTACGCTCATTTCCCCCCCATCTATCTGAAACATAATAATTCACCATCATAGGGGGAGACGGAGCAGAAGAGTAATAAAATCAGGTTGTAAATCATAGAAATGACAAACACACACACACACACACACACACACACCTGGTGTGTGCTGCAGAGTGACGCCCTGCATGTTGTCTTTCTCCAGCAGCTCGGCTCCAGCGACTCTCCTCCAGCCTGAGTGCTGGTTGGACGCGGACCAACCGCATGAATCCGACTCAAACGAACAGTACGAGCCGAAGGGAAGAGCGTCTGGAAGGAAACCAGCTTATTAGAATTCACAGAGAGAGGCAGCTGCAAAAATAAAACATAAAAAAGGAGAATTGTAGTTTGTGTGTTGCTGACATCACATTGAGCACAATATTGACATCAATAATTGTAATAATAATTAACAATAATTAGGGCTGCACCGATAAATCGGCCCTGATTTCCTTAATTTTGGGAGACTGGTCGATACACCAACAAGCTGATCTTATAATCGGCACAAATCAGACAAAATCAGAATCAGTGCACCCCTAACAATAATATATTTTAAACAAATTCAAACTTATACAACTGAGTTACACCAACAAACAGCTGCGAAATATAGGAAGACTCAATTTAAATCTAAATTTCCTGTTACCTGTTCAGTTTGAGCGGATTCGTTTTCAGGAGTACGATAAGACTGACGCAGATTTGAATGTTTTATGTCAGCCCACATATTTATATTATTTATTTAACCTTTATTTATGCAGGTAAACTGTTTGAAAACCGCTTCTCATTTACAAACATGACCTGGCCAAGAGGCTGCATGAATGAATATATACAACACTGAGCATACCACAAACATTTACATTAAAAGAAATAAATGTAGAAAGTAGAAAAAGAAAAAAAGAAAGTGCCTAAATGTGTGTTCAAAACTGTCAACAGGAACAGGCGTCGGTGATTGTGTTTTGGATGTTCTGCTTAAATGTGGAGATTGGGATCAGAGATGTGAGTTTAAGGGTATTCTGGAGTGTGTTCCAGTCGTGTGCTGCTGCAAASTGAAAAGCATTACATATAAAAGCATTACATCATTTAGTCAAAGGGTGCAATTAACACTACAGTAAGAGACAAACACTTCAACTCATACAAATTAGTAACAGTGCATCCAACACAAAAATTAGTCAGAATTTAAACATAACACTTAATAAATTGACTTTTTCTTTACTTCAAAGTTATTTATAAGATTATTATAGTTTTAATTTATACTTGAGAAAAAAAGGGGCAGATATTATAAGATTTTTTCTTCTCTCTGCCGCCTTTCATTTCATTTTATTTGTGTTC